TCACAACTGAGTATAAAGCACAGATTGAGCAGAAAGTAGACACAATCAGGTACCTTCCAAGACAGCACTGGCAAATGTTTTCATTGCGATACCACACCATATTTGGAACTCCACAGAATTTAGTCATGTTAAGAGTCAGTTGACAAGTCACCTTAAAACTAAGCCGAAGGGCAAGGGTGTATTCTTAGTGACCTTTTCACTAGTTTTTCTTTTTCACTAGCTTTTCTTTAATTTTGTCACTGGTCGTTTTATTATCATTTCACTGTTCATAGTTTTGTAGTAATGATAATTTATAACCAATTGATGAGTAGATTAGTAGGTTAGGTTATCGGTAGTAGTGAGTCACAGACAAAGAGCCGTATTTTTAGTTTATGGATACAGTGGAACCCCTTCTTACGGCCACTTTTTTTTGGCCGCCCGGCAAAACGACCATACATTTTCTTGTAAAAAAAAAACCTCGTTAATACGGTCACCCGCTAATACGGCCAAATTTTTTTGGCCCATTGGTGACCGTATTAAAGAGGCTGTACTTTGAATAAACCATTATAATTATAATTTTATCATTATTATTATCATTATTATTATTATTATCATTATTATTATTTTGCTTCCCTCTCAATCAAAGCAGGAGGATCGAAGCCTTTTAGACCAAAAAGCGAGATCCTAGAATTACCGGCGAAACAGCAAAATGACAGCAAAAAGTACTCTGTAGTTTGAAAAAACGAAAAAGGCAGAGACCTCACACTTTCCACGTTATAATTATGAACTGTAAACAGCCCCGGACCTAAGAATCAATTCCAACATATTATAGCTACTAAGCAAAAAGTTACCTTATTTCACATTTTAACCGAATCAAAGTCCCTCCACATCGTCCCTCCACTGAGACCGCCATTTTTTTTCTTTTGTTGAATCCGTCTCGTTTTGGCGCACTAAATTGTGAAAAAGAGTCATTCGGAAGTCAACCGGTCCACCGAAAACTGTAATGTCGGCATGGTTTCTAAAAATAACTTATCTCTAATCAAGATATCCCAGCCGACGCCCAGAGACTCCCTCTTTGTCCTAACACGCCCCTGGTATTACGATTTCTTACCTAATGTCTTGACCTTGAGCTAACTTGCTTACACATGATTTGAACAAAGTCGGACTGACTCCGTTGTCCAAGCTCTCCATCAGCCCAAAAGAATTGTTGACCATATCTACAAGAGATGTCGCCCCCTCGTGACTTGTGAAGACGATGATAAGCGGCACTTGCTTGAAATTTTTCTTTTTCCTCAAACTTTGGGGTGTATTAAGAAGGAAGTATTTGTCTACAACTGGTGCCCAGTGGAGATAATTAGAGAAATCAAATTTGATTGACTCTGAGGCTTTCTGTATGTCTGAAGCTCTTTTGTAGTGTATGCAGGAAACCATTGCGTTGTGGTCGCTTGCACCACAGTTTAGTTTTTTGTTTAGTTTTTGCGCAAGCTCCTTAGCGACTCGAAGACCAAAAGACGTTGGCTGAACCGCAAAGGAACTTAAATCTACACCGCTCTCTGCAATGGCTTGATGAAAGAGATCACGTGACAGAGGTGATAGAAGGTGGAGACTCAAGCTGGATCCGCCAGCGCTCTCTCCAAATATCGTGACCTTGTTGGGATTCCCACCAAAATTCATAATGTTTTCATTGACCCACTTCAGTGCTTCCACTTGATCCAACATTCCATAGTTACCAGGCGCCGCTGAATCACCAGTCGTCAAGAAACCAAAGGGACCTAGACGATACTGGATTATGACCACCACCACACCCTGAAGAGCCAAAAAATCGCTGGAAGAAGTGATCGCTGTTCCTATAATGTAGCCTCCACCGTGAATGTAAACCATTACTGGCGAACTAAGGCTGATGTTCGGGCTGTTATATCAAGATATAAGCAATCCTCGCTGAAAGTGAAATTTGAAGTAAAAGGCTTGATAAAGTTTTCGAAAAGTTTGGCAGACGCTTCCATTTGTCTTAGCCGAATAGACGTTTGGTTTCCATTCTTTTGGCGGTTTGGGGGCTTTAAACCTTAGCTCTCCAGTTGGTGGAGCGGAGAAAGGAACCCCAAGAAATTTGCTGACAGATTTGAACGGACCAGAGGTATTCGGATACGAAGTCACGAGACCCTCGATATCTCCATACTTAGTTGACACTGTTTCTGCTCGAACATGAAGCCAACATGCACAAAAGAGCAATAACGTTGCTAGTTGTTGCATCTTCGAACACTTCTCAGTTGTGAAGCTGTTTATTTTACCAAGATCAAAAATCAGCAGGCCTTGACTTGTTGACACTAGCTATTATGAAAGTCAAATGAGCAATTTTAAATTACTTTTCATCTCGCAGCAGCGGACCTTTTTAATCCTGACGTCATTCGAACAACATACACTATTTTAAAGACCCCTTACTGGCTTTTTGTTCACTATGCAATATGACTAATGAAAATTTAGAGAACAATGGCAAGCTGACATGGGTCTAAATGATACAATTCATTAAGTGGGCAGTTTAGTTAGAAATAAAACTCATATGAATACAGTATATCACGACAGATCATGCAATCAGCAAAATCACAGAACCACCCATAGCTGACATAAGCCATTGAGCTTGACCAGAAGGTCCATTATTCTTGACAGTTGATATAACATATGATGGCAGCCATCAACAAAACCTGGATTTTTGAGTTCGCATCAATCCCTGAAGTCTCTAAATGACATAAGTTTAGGGCTACGGTTACAAGGCTCGTGGTACCTCATAGCAAATAATAATAGATCCCAATTAAATACATTTTAATTAAATTTACTTGGCAAGCAAAGATAAGATTAAAACGTCGCACAAGCGTCAAGCTAATTTAAGGTTAAATTGAAGTGGGTTCGACCAAGGCTGGTTTGGACCCCCGGAGGTGGGTACTGCCACATATGGGTTACATAGGTATGTGCGTCTGTGAAGGGTATGGTTTTCAAGCAGTTTACTCCGCGATAGGGTATATAAATCAGAGAGTTTGGGTCTAGAATAGGGTATCATTTTCCATGAAACAGATCAGTTGGTTGAAGATGTTAGTCTAGACTAGGGAACCGGGAATTGCCTCTCAAAAATTTTAAAAAAATCAAATCAGCAAGTTTAAATTTATGCAACTCAGCCTAAAAGGTACTCTAGGATAGGGGGGATTTGGGGAGTTTAGTCTAGTATAGGGCAGCAAAATTCCGCTGAACTAGCTCTGGTATAGGCTAAGGGGTCCAGGTCCCAGCGGCACATCCCCACAATGACAAAAGTTTCAGCTCGGGCCTACGGTTACAGGAGTTGGTACTCAAAGCGAATACAGTAGAACCCCGATAACTCGAACTCGGATAATTCGAACTCCCTGCTAACCCGATCAAAAAGTCACTGAAATTTTCCCCGATAACTCGAATTCTGTTTCTTTTAACTACATTCGGATGCCACCCCATTAGCTCTTCTTGTTGTAAAGGGCCTGAAAACACTAAAATTAACACTGGTCACTATTAAAGGAAATTTGATTTAAAGTGGTAAAACGAACAGATCACGTTTTATCATAAAAGTGCCTAATCGTGTTATCGGACTGTTTCTCATGAAATAATTAAATTTGTGCTCCACCATACACTGAAGCACTGAGAAAATCAGTAAATATCAATTTCTAACATCGCATATTGAATTTTTCAATCGACCCTGATAACTCGAACCCTCGCTAGTTCGAAATGTTGTTCGTTTCCTCTCAGAGTTCGTGTTACCGGGATTCTACTGTTCTTAGAATACTTACTAGTCATTAAAAATTGGTAGAAACCAGTCGAGGAGGGTGACAAGCGCGTGGACTGAGATTTTCACGCTGTTCTCGCTCAATTCGCTCACTTTGCTTTCTCTGAGGAAAGCGAAACAATACTCGAGTCTATGAATCTACGGTCTGTCCGTCCGAAAAAGTGGACGGTGTGGACGCATGTATCTTTGTAGACAGGTTGTGACTGCAATGCGATCAGCTGAAATTGCAATAGTAATTAAATGCTCGGCCAAATACAATGAAGACTGCCAAAACTTAAAGATGTAAAATTAGGATTTAATGGAGCCCAAAACAATTGTAGAATTGTACGAACCTTAGGCATCCTCTACTGATGTATGGATATCTCAATTGCAGGAGCAACAATCAAGTCTGTACCCTATTAATTCAATAATCAGTATTAATTATTCAATCCTCTATCTGTATATTAATTCGTCGTATCATTCTCAGCTTCATTCAATAACAGTCATGAACTTTTTAGCAAAAACTGAAATCGCTCTTTTTCTTTACCGACCTTTTTTTAGTTGATTCGGCTACATACATCATGCTCTACTTTCCGCTCATAAACATTAACGAAAATGTTAGTCTTATCCACTTCTAAAAAACAGTTATGAACTTTATAGCAAAAAACTGAAATCGCCCTTTTTTCTTTGCTGATTCTTTTTAGTTGATTCGGTTACATACTTCATGCTATACTTTCCGCTCATAAACCATTAAACCATTAAAGAAAATGTTAGTCTCATCCACTTCTAATAAACTTGAACGAATGAGTAGAAAACAAAGTAAGGTCTTAGTAAATCAAGTATACTATTAAAGCAAATACAACTTGAAGAGCAGTTCCCATGGTAACAACATCCTTTGCACCGCTGACCACCTCCTTATTGACATCGAACTTCACCTGCTCCAATTTAGGATAGTAATTATTCCAAAAAGACATTCGGCGAGAATTATATGACGTCTTCAGTTTGGGACTTGTGTCCACTTTTAGGTAAGCTCTGTGACTCGAGTTGTATTTCTCCCACGCGACACCGTTGACTGAAGGATCGCCAGACCGGGCGAAGTTTGCATACATGGTCATGATAAACAGACTGACATTTCTGTCAGCCTGACTATAATGTGGCGAAAATTTGGGAAGCAAAGGAACACCGAAATCAAAGGGAATGTTTTCGCCATGAACAACGCCCATCCACTCTGCACGTGCCACCAAACTTGACTTTGCCCGATGAGCAAATTCATACATATAAACAGGAGCGACCTGACTGTGAACATCAGCGACCTTGTGACTGGGGGCAACGAAAAGGTTATCTCCAATAACATCAACAAGTCCACTTCTTAATGCGTATGTGTTACTGTTGTCAGGCCAAGGGGTGTACATGAACTCCAAGGCATCGGCGAGAAGATCAGCATTCTTCTTCCTAAAAAAAGTGACAGATATTTAATAATTTTTCCACAGACCAGAGCCGTGCCCAGTATGAAGCAATCCGAGGTACTTGCCTCACTGGTTTTATCTTGAAGGCGAAAGTAAAACACTGCTTGCAAATAAATGTTAATGTAACACAAGAGAGAAACATGATCGGTGGCCTGTTATGACCCCGCTGGGGTACTTGCTTATATGACCTATACGGGGATTTGCCTCTGGACAGGGTGTGGTTTTTGACCGCTCTGTCCTTAACAGGGTATATAATTTCATGCGAGCCTATCCTAATTGTAAACAGGATAAAATATGCTTCCCCTCCAAGTATACAGAAGCAATGACTATAACGTGAATTTTCTCTATTGAAATTGCTAATAAATGGCTTAAAAACAAGACGGCGTGCATTTTTTCCTGTGTCCTAAACGTCGGCACCTGACAGGGTATGTATTTTAGAATTTTGTTGTACTAAACGGGGCCAGGGTTTCAAACCCTCAGCGGCTCATCTATACCCAAATATTGCCCCCCCCCCCCCCCCGGATTATGACGTGCGTCTTCACCCCCAACATCTCCATTATTTTTCAGCCGAAATCAAATAGTCAATTCAAAATTAAATCTCAAGAAAAAGAATGCTAACGAGCCAGTCCATTTTGTTTCATTGACTGATAGTTTTACAACGTTGTCTGCAAAACTATCGAAACCTCTGTCTTTAAGGTAGGACGCCCCTGCTTCAACCGTGTATCTGTGGGCTCCAAGAGGCTTAATTGTCCTGCATGCAGCAGCCTAATGTAGAAGCGAAGTCCCTGTGGAGCCACGCGAGGGTCTAAAACGCCGGGTTCAGTGCTATTGTGCTGAGAATCCACGTTTATGAGCAAGTCAATAAATTCCAAAAGTGTGACTACATCTACAGTAGAACCCCAGTAACTCGAACTCAGAAGGGAAAGGAAAAACAGTTCGAATTAGCGAGAGTTCAAGTTATCGCGGTCGATTGAAAAATTCAATATGCCATACTTCAGTGTAAGGTACACTTATTTCATCAGAAACGGTAACATGATTAGGCACTTTTTTGATAAAACGTGATCTGTTCGTTTCCCCAATTTAAATCAAATTGCCTTCAATAGTGACCAGTCTTAGTTTTAGTGTTTTCAGACCCTTTACAACAAGAAGAGTTAATGGGATGGCATCAGAGTGTAGTTAAAAGAACCAGAATTCGAGTTATCGGGGTAAATTTCACTGACTTTTTTTGATCAGGGGAAAAGAGTTTTAGTTCGAGTTAGCGGCGAATTCGAGTTATCCGAGTTCGAGCCATCGGGGTTCTGCTGTACTTTAAAAACTACTGAGCAAATATTTAATTTTCACTGATCTTACCTACTGTTTTGAACTTGAGCAAACTTGATAAGAAATGATTTGAACAAAGTCGGACTGACTCCATTGTCCACGCTCTGCATCAGCCCTAGAGAATTGTTGACCATGTCTCTAAGAAAAGTCGACCCCTCGTGACTTGTGAAGGTGATGATAAGCGGCACTTGCTTAAATTCTCCTTTTTTTCTCAAAACTTGGGGTGTATCATGAAGAAAATTTTTATCTACGACTGGTGCCCAGTAAAGATAATTAACGAAACCAAATTTGATTGACTCGGCGGCTTTTTGCATGTCGGACGCTGTTTTACTGCGCATACAAGAAACCATTGCATAATGGTCACTGGAACCACAATTCAGTTTTTGTGCAAGCTCTTTAGTGAAACGGAGACCAAAAGACGTTGGCTGAACCGCAAAGGAACTTAAATCTACACCGCTCTCTGGAATGGCTTGATGAAAGAGATCACGAGATAGAGGCGATAGAAGATGGAGCCCCACGCTAGATCCTCCAGCGCTCTCTCCAAATATGGTCACTTTGCTCGGATTCCCGCCAAAATTCTCAATGTTTTCTTTGATCCACTTCAGTGCTTCCACTTGATCCAACATTCCATAGTTACCAGGTGCCGCCGAATCACCCGTCGTCAAGAAACCAAAGGGACCTAGACGATACTGGATAATGACCACCACCACCCCATGGAGAGCCAAGATATCGCTGGGAGAAGTGATCGCTGTTCCTAAAACGTAACCTCCACCGTGAATGTAAACCATCACTGGCAAACTAAGGCTGATGTTCGGGCTGTAGATATCAAGATATAAGCAATCCTCGCTGAAAGTGAAATTTGAAGTAAAAGGCTTGATTAAGTTTTCGGAAAGTTTGAACTGTAAGCAGACGCTCCCATGGGTTTTAGCCGAATAAACCTTCGGTTTCCACTCTTTTGGCGGTTGTGGGGCTTTAAACCTTAGCTCTCCAGTTGGTGGAGCGGAGAAAGGAACCCCAAGAAATTTGCTGACGTATTTGAACGGACCAGAGGCATTTGGATACAAAGTCACGAGTCCTTCGATATCTCCATACTTCGTTGACACTATTTCTGCTCGAACATGAAGCCAACATGCACAAAAGATAAAAAACGTTGCTAGCAGCATCTTTGAACACTTCTTCTTGTGGAGCTGCTCCTTTCACTAATATGAAACAACCTAACCGAGCTTGACTTGTTGACACTCTGGCTAGCCAAATGAAGGTCAAGTCAACAGGTTTAAGTTACCTTTCAACTCGCAGCGAGTCTATTTATGGAATTTTTTTTAAATCCTTGACGTCAATCAAACTTGATACATGTACATGTGATGGTGAAAGAGTCCCGATATTTTACATGAACACAATTTGAGCACCCCTCATTGTGCTAATTGGCGTTTTATTTACTATGTAATCTGGTAGATAAAAATATATTTCTAAAAAGGTAACAAGAAAATAAAAGGCAAACTATGAGAAAAATCTGGATCAGTTCACGCATCTACACCCTGAATGATCGATCTGGGCCATACACATATAACTTAAATTGTCGAATTTCTTTAGTCCTACTGCGTGAGCGAGCCGGAGCACCTTAGATTTGCTAACTTTGCAATTTAAAGAACAAAAGGAAACTTCGTATTGTTCATGGCTCTCTGCGTTTTTTTAAGGATATTATTCACTGAGCTGGCGGTTTTAATACTGACAAACAAAGGTCTTTTGAAAACTATATCATGACACATCATGCAATTAATAAAAGCAAAATGCCATGAGACTAAAACCTAATATCGGCCCACACGTCGACTTAAAAGACGGAAGTGGGTCTTTAGGGTCCCAAAAAACGTGTATACTCAGCAAAACTTTTAAGGACCCATAAAGTGGCATGGATAAAACAATTGTTTTTCCTTAAGGTTGATTTCCACGGACGCTTTCATTGGCTACGTACCCTGACGCAAGTAAATTTTAATCAAGTAAATAAAATTGAGGGAAGATAAAAAGTGCTGAGCTTAAACGAGAAGTTGAGCGAGTTAGGGGCAAGAAAGGGCCGTAGAGGGAGGGTGTAACAATTTTAGGTTTAAAAATACTTTGTATGTCATATTTTAAAATATCTAAGTAACGAAATCTACATGTAAGTACATCAATAAGACGGCAACCACATTTTCAGAATAATTACATCATAATTGCTGAACTCATGGACGAATACTTACGACGCCATGGTATAAAACTGATGAGGAGGGTGACACGCGCGTCAGAGAGACATGTTCTCGCTTAATTTGCTCAAATAAAGGGCCACTGTAGTCCAGGAATTTATGACCTGTATAAAGTCCAAAAAAGTGGACATTGAAGACGCATGGCATAACTGTTTAACTGTACTTTCAGAGCAATCCGATCTGATATCAATAAAATTGCAAACCTTGAAATCAAATGCTCAACCAAATGCAATGAAGACTTACAAAACTTAAACACGTAAAATAAACAACTTAAGGTTTCATGGAGCCTGAGCCAATTTGTGGAATTGCTTGAGCATTAAGCATCCTATTGACGAATGGTTACGACAGTAACATATATGCAGTAGCAACAATAGTTTTTTGTCTGTACCGCTTTTAATTCAATAATCAGTAGTTATTCAATCCGTGAGTGCGTAATTCCGCATATCATTCTCCGCCTCATTCAATAGCTGTAATTTTTTATACAAAACCTGAAACTGCCCTTTTTTTCCTTTGCTGTACTTCCCACCAAAAATTAACTTATTATAATAGAAATCTTAACTTATTATAATAGACTTGAATGAATGGCGGTACAAAATAGAAAGTAAGGTCTTAGTAAATCAAAAATTCTGTTAGAGCGAATAAAACTTGAATAGTAGTTCCCATGGTAACAACAGCCTTAGCACCTCTAACGGCACCTCTTTATTGACATGGAACTTCACCTCCTCCAATTTAGGGTAGTAATCATTCCAAAAAGACATTCGGTGAGGATTAAATGACGCGTTCAACGGTTTTGGGGCTTTAACCCTTAGCTCTCCGGTAGGTGGAGCGGCGAAAGGAACGCCAAGAAATTTGCCGACGGATTTGAACGGACCAGATGCATTTGGATACGATGTCACGAGACCTGTTTTCGGATCGAACATCATACCAACAGGAACAGAAAATAAATAACGTCGCTAATAGCATCTTCCACTACTTCTTCTTGTGAAGATGGATATTCAGTTTCACTTGTTGGCACTTTATGGCCAAATGAAGGTTAAGTCAAATGACATCACGCAATGCAGACGTCATAAAGAAGAGTGTAATAAGTACGGAATTTTACACAAACAAAATATAGGGAGACCAGGAGCCCATCACCTAACAGGCTTTCAATCAGTGGCCTGAAGTCATGTGAAGAAATTTCTTAAAAGTAGGCTTTCAAGAAAGGTTATACGAAAAATAACTATATTAATAATAAACTATGAATTCTAAATGGTTTCTTTTAATGACAAAATTGTGGATCTCTTTTCTCACTCTAAAAAAGACAAAGGGATTAAATTGATATTGTCCGGCCATGCTCTGCTGGTCAGAGTGAGTCTTTCAGGAGTTGGCAGTTTTTATTGTACTTCATGAAAGATCGGATGCAACTGATAAAAGCTAAACGCTGAGTACCTGACTTCGTCGTTATCAATTCATTCCAAAAGTTCCCGCTCTTCCATCTGAACTTAAAAGAATTACGTTCGACTTTTGCTCGACAGTTCATTTCAGAATACATGAGACCATACATGATAGGCGTCAACAAAACCTACCTCTAGCCTGTGAGTCACTAGACTGTTCACAGTCCTCTATTTTTCCGTAAGATCGTCGAGATCGAGCGCTTTGCGTTTCGGGCTACATCTTGCATGAGTGTCAAAACTACTTAGGGGGCAGGGGGCGTTTTGGGAGGAAGCGAGAAAAATAGAGGTTCTCGCCCACCCCCCCAGAGCTATAATTCCCGACGTCCGCCCCCTCGGTATATTTGAAAATCAAGATGGCCGTCATTAACGGTAAGACGCGCTATATCTCAACGATCTCGGCGAAAAAATAGGGACTGTGAACAGTCTAGTGAGTCACTAAATGACCTAAGGCTAAAGCAAGTTATAGGCTCCTGGTTAAAGATATTGTTACCGAGCGGGATTACGGGTCATTGCGCATGCCATATCACAATTAATGGGTACTTAAAAATCCGATTAATGTAACTCACCTCGACAAGATTTAGCTAAAGATATGGAGATTAATTCATGCAAATTGAGTTGGTTTCCTCGTTAGCTAGGCTTGGTGGGGGATCTTAAAATTTTTCGAAAGAAAACGAGGGAATGCATTTGATAAAAGTGTCCGTAGGCAGGAAGGTGGGTTACCAATTTTTGAGCTTCTGTAATAAAAATCGAAAAAGCGTTTGAATAACCTGAACATCAATAAAACAGGAATGGGCATAATGTTCAGAACAAGAGTATTAGCAAAGCAAAATGAACAAGACACAATAAATACATCAGTCTGTTATATAACTTTAAAAGCAGGGGCGTAGCCAGGATTTTTCAAAGGGGGGGTCACAGAGCTATGTTAAGCAGGGACACCATCCAGGGATCGCCGACTATATATGGTTTATACCGCTGCTCTCCCTCGTGTATCAGCGAATCAAACAGTAGCTTCCCAGTGCACAATTGCCCAACTTCAGTTCATTGAATCAGATATATGGTGTTGGATTTTAAATTGCCGTGAGTACGGGAAAATAACATAATGACTGTTGCCGACTTTCAGAGAAGTTTAACTTTACTTTCCTGAGCTCAGAGCAATAAGCAGATATAAGCTAAAAAGACAAGTAAATGCTAATAAAGTAAAATCACAACAAATTCAAGACTGCCAGATCTGATACCTTTCCAAAAACAGTTGCCTTTATTAAGTTCATTTGGATTACGTCATGGTCTACTTCCCACCGAGAGAGATTGGGGAACAGACCTAATCCTATATGCACTTGTAATTGACTAAAATAAATGAATACACAATGCGAAGCAAGGTCTTAAGCCCAGTAAACATTTTTTAGAAGCGCATGGTGACATACATCTTCTTAGTGAGGGTCAATTTCGCGTTCTTGATAACTGCCACGGCAAATTTGACTGCCTCGTAAATCCTATTCATCAAACTGAACTGAGGCCTAGACTTAACACTCAGAGTGACTCAATCAGTACTAAACGCTCTGTTTTAAAACTTGTACCATATTTTTTATATGCTACTTTTCTTTTTAATGAGCTACTGTTTTTCTTGCATTTATAGAAGATTCATATGATACTGCATTTTTTACTTGATAATGACAGCTGAGAACGTCGAAACAACGTAGTATGTTTTTAAACTTTTTTTAAAAAATGTTTTCAAGAAAAGTTTTTTCTCGCAATTTTTTATGGCTAAATGTTTTAAAGTCGCTTCTTTTTGAACAATTATAGTTTTACAAAATAAAAATGTAGTCACAACTGAGTATAAAGCACAGATTGAGCAGAAAGTAGACACAATCAGGTACCTTCCAAGACAGCACTGGCAAATGTTTTCATTGCGATACCACACCATATTTGGAACTCCACAGAATTTAGTCATGTTAAGAGTCAGTTGACAAGTCACCTTAAAACTAAGCCGAAGGGCAAGGCTGTATTCTTAGTGACCTTTTCATTAGTTTTTCTTTTTCATTTTTGCATGTCGGACGCTGTTTTACTGCGCATACAAGAAACCATTGCATAATGGTCACTGGAACCACAATTCAGTTTTTGTGCAAGCTCTTTAGTGAAACGGAGACCAAAAGACGTTGGCTGAATCGCAAAGGGACTTAAATCTACACCGCTCTCTGGAATGGCTTGATGAAAGAGATCACGAGATAGAGGCGATAGAAGATGGAGTCCCACGCTGGATCCTCCAGCGCTCTCTCCAAATATGGTCACTTTGCTGGGATTCCCGCCAAAGTTCTCAATGTTTTCTTTGACCCACTTCAGTGCTTCCACTTGATCCAACATCCCATAGTTACCAGGCGCCGCCGAATCACCAGTCGTCAAGAAACCAAAGGGACCTAGACGATACTGGATTATGACCACCACCACCCCCTGGAGAGCCAAGATATCGCTAGGAGAAGTGATCGCTGTTCCTAAAACGTAACCTCCACCGTGAATGTAAACCATCACTGGCAAACTGAGGCTGATGTTCGGGCTGTAGACATCAAGATATAAGCAATCCTCGCTGAAAGTGAAATTTGAAGTAAAAGGCTTGATTGAGTTTTCGAAAAGTTTGAACTGTAAGCAGACGCTTCCATGGGTTTTAGCCGAATAAACCTTTGGTTTCCACTTTTTTGGCGGCTGTGGTGCTTTAAACCTCAGCTCTCCAGTTGGTGGAGCGGCGAAAGGAACGCCAAGAAATTTGCTGACAGATTTGAACGGACCAGAGGCATTCGGATACGAAGTCACGAGACCCTCGATATCTCCATACTTAGTTGACACTGTTTCTGCTCGAATATGAAGCCAACATGCACAAAAGATAGAAAACGTTGCTAGCAGCATCTTTGAATACTTCTTCTTGTGGAGCTGTTTCTTTTACTAATACCAAACAACGACCGCGCCTGACTTGTTAACACTAGCCAAATGAAGGTTAAGTCGACAGTTTTAAGTTACCTTTCAACTCGCGGCGAGTCTGTTTATGGAATTTCTTTAAAATCCTGGACGTCAATCAAACTTGATACATGTACATGTGATGGTGAAAGAGTGCCGATATTTTACATGAACACAATTTGAGCACCCCACATTTTCCTTATTGGCGTTTTATTGACTATATAATCTGGCTGATAAAAACATATTTCTAAAAAGGTTACAAGAAAATTTAATGCAAACTATGAGAAAAATCTGGATCAGTTCAAGCATCTTCACCCTGAATGATCGATCTGGGCCCAACACATGCAACTCAAGTTGCCCCGTCAAGTTGTCGAATTTCCTTAGTCTTATTGCATGAGCGAGCCGGAGCACCTTAGATTCGCTAACTGTACACTTTACAGAACAAAAGAAAACTTGTGTTGTTCATGGCTCTCTGCTTTTATTAAGGATATTATTCACTGAGCTGGTGGTTTTAATACTGACAAACAAAGGTCTTTTGAAAACTATATCCTGGCACATCATGCAATTAATAAAAGCAAAATGCCATGAAACTAAAACCTAATATCGTCCCGCACGTCGACTTAAGAGAAAGTAGGTCTTTAGAGTCCTTAAAAACCTGTATACTCAGCAAAATTTTTTAAGGACCCACATAGTGGCATGGATAAAACAATTGTTTTCCCTTAAGGTTAATTTCCACGGACGATTTCATCGGCTACGCACATTAACGCACGCAAATTTTAATCACGTAAATAAAATTGAGGGAAGATAAAAAGTGCTGAGCTTAAACGAGAAGTTGAGCGAGGTTCAACTTTTACGCTTACGAGCGACCTTTCATGTATGGCCTCTATTTTATTTGCGAACGTAAATTTTAGGCACCTACGAACGTAAAAATTACGCGACACCGGTAATCAACCCTTACACTTATCCATACGGGACTTGTCAGAAATCAGCAGGGAGGGGTGGAACCAGAGGGAGGGTCACAAGTTTTTGAGACTGCAGAAAAGGGAGGGGTCATGAAAAATGGGCCGTTAAAAGGGGGAGGGTCATGTAAATATGTGTCCGTGATCATGTAGAGGTTCGCCCACAGAAGAAAAAAGAAGTTCTTTATTTGTTAAAAAAATCCTGGGCGGGATTACGGGTCATTGCGAATGCCATATCGCAATTAATGTGTACTTAAAAATCCGATTAATGTAACTCACCTCGACGAGATTAAGCTAAAGATATGGAGATTAATTAATGCAAATTGAGTTGGTTTCTTCGTTAGCAAATGAGGAGTTTGGACGAAAAGTTGTGGCAGAGATGCCTTCCCTAGGTTTGGTGGAGGATCTTAAAATTTTTGGAAAGAAAACGAGGGTATGATAAAAGTGTCCGTAGGCAGGAAGCTGGGTTACCAATTTTTTGTGCTTCTGCAATAAAAATCGAAAAAGCGTTTGAATAACTTGAACATAATCAATAAAACAGGTATGGGCATAATGTTCAGAACAAGAGTATTAGCAAAACAAAGTGAACAAGACACAATAAATACGTCAGTTTGTTATATAACTTTAAAAGGTTGCTTTTGCAATCGGGTATTGGGCATTAAGGGCATACGGAACTCACTACGATGATTTGCTCGAGTGGCCATCAAACAGTAGCTTCCCAGTGCACAATTGCCCAACTTCAGTTCATTGAATCAGATATATGGTGTTGGATTTTAAATTGCCGTGAGTACGGGAAAATAACATAATGACTGTTGCCGACTTTCAGAGAAGTTCAACTTTACTTTTCTGAGCTCAGAGCAATAAGCAGATATAAGCTAAAAAGACAAATAAATGCTAATAAAGTAAAATCACAACAAATTCAAGACTGCCAGATCTGATACCTTTCCAAAAACTGTTCCCTTTATTAAGTTCATTTGGATTACGTCATGGTCTACTTCCCACCGAGAGAGATTGGGGAACAGACCTAATCCTATATGCACTTGTAATTGACTAAAATAAATGAATACATAATGCGAAGCAAGGTCTTAAGCCCAGTACACATTTTTTAGAAGCGCGTGGTGACATACATCTTCTTAGTGAGGGTCAATTTCGCGTTGTCGATAAGTGCCACGGCAACTTTGACTGCCTCGTAAATCCTATTCATCAAACTGAACTGAGGCCTAGACTTAACACTCAGAGTGACTCAATCAGTGCTATACTCTTTGTTTTTAAAACTTGTAACATATTTCTTATATGTTACTTTTCTTTTTAATGAGCTATTGTTTTTCTTGCATTTATAGAACATTCATACTGCATTTTTTACTTGATAATGACAGCTGAGAACGTCGAAACGTAGTCTGTTTTTAAACTTTTTAAAATGTTTTTAAGAAAAGTTTTTTTCGCAATTTTTTATAGCTAAATGTTTTAAGTCGCTTCTTTTTGAACAATTATAGTTTTACAAAATAAAAATGTAGTCACAACTGAGTATAAAGCACAGATTGAGCAGAAAGTAGACACAATCAGGTACCTTCCAAGACAGCACTGCCAAATGTTTTCAATGCGATACCACACCATATTTGGAACTCCACAGAATTTAGTCATGTTAAGAGTCAGTTGACAAGTCACCTTAAAACTAAGCCGAAGGGCAAGGCTGTATTCTTAGTGACCTTTTCATTAGTTTTTCTTTTTCACTAGCTTTTCTTCAATTTTGGAACTTGTCGTTTTATTATCATTTTACTGTTCATAGTTTTGTAGTAATGATAATTTATAACAAATTGATGAGTAGATTAGTAGGTTAGGTTAACGGTAGTAGTGAGTCACAGACAAAGAGCCGTATTTTTAGTTTATGGATACAGTGGAACCCCTTCTTACGGCCACTTTTTTTTGGCCGCCCGGCAAAACGACCATACATTTTCTTGTAAAAAAAAAACCTCGTTAATACGGTCACCCGCTAATACGGCCAAATTTTTTTGGCCCATTGGTGACCGTATTAAAGAGGCTGTCCTTTGAATAAACCATTATAATTATAATTTTATCATTGTTATTATCATTATTATTATTATTATCATTATTATTATTTTGCTTCCCTCTCAATCAAAGCAGGAGGATCGAAGCCTTTTAGACCAAAAAGCGAGATCCTAGAATTACCGGCGAAACAGCAAAATGACAGCAAAAAGTACTCTGTAGTTTGAAAAAACGAAAAAGACAGAGACCTCACACTTTCCACGTTATAATTATGAACTGTAAACAGCCCCGGACCTAAGAATCAATTCCAACATATTATAGCTACTAAGCAAAAAGTTACCTTATTTCACATTTTAACCGAATCAAAGTCCCTCCACATCGTCCCTCCACTGAGACCGCCATTTTTTTTCTTTTGTTGAGTCCGCCTCGTTTTGGCGCACTAAATTGTGAAAGAGTCATTCGGAAGTCAACCGGTCCACCGAAAACTGTTATGTCCGCATGGTTTCTAAAAATAACTTATCTCTAATCAAGATATCCCAGCCGACGCCCAGAGACTCCCTCTTTGTCCTAACACGCCCCTGGTATTAAGATTTCTTACCTAATGTCTTGACCTTGAGCTAACTTGCTTACACATGATTTCAACAAAGTCGGACTGACTCCGTTGTCCAAGCTCTCCATCAGCCCAAAAGAATTGTTGACCATATCTACAAGAGATGTCGCCCCCTCGTGACTTGTAAAGGCGATGATAAGCGGCACTTGCTTGAAATCTTTCTTTTTCCTCAAACTTTGGGGTGTATCAAGAAGGAAGTACTTGCCTACAACCGGTGCCCAGTAGAGATAATTAGAGAAGTCAAGTTTGATTGACTCTGAGGCTTTCTGTATGTCTGAAGCTCTTTTGTTGTGTATGCAGGAAACCATTGCGTTGTGGTCGCTTGCACCACAGTTTAGTTTTTGCGCAAGCTCCTTAGCGACTCGAAGACCAAAAGACGTTGGCTGAACCGCAAAGGAACTTAAATCTACACCGCTCTCTGCAATGGCTTGATGAAAGAGATCACGTGACAGAGGTGATAGAAGATGGAGGCTCACGCTGGATCCGCCAGCGCTCTCTCCAAATATCGTGACCTTGCTGGGATTCCCACCAAAATTCATCCACTTGATCCAACATTCCATAATTACCAGGGGCTCCCGAATCACCAGTCGTCAAGAAACCAAAGGGACCAAGACGATACAGGATTATGACCACCACCACACCCTGAAGAGCCAAAAATTCGCGGGGAGAAGTAATCGCTGTTCCTATAATGTAGCCTCCACCGTGAATGTAAACCATCACTGGCAAACTAAGGCTGATGTTCGGGCTGTAGATATCAAGATATAAGCAATCCTGGATGAAAGTGAATTTGAAGTAAAAGGCTTGATAAAGTTTTCGAAAAGTTTGGACTGTAAGCAGACGCTTCCATGTGTCTTAGCCGAATAGACGTCTGGTTTCCATTCTTTTGGCGGTTTGGGGGCTTTAAACCTTAGCTCTCCAGTTGGTGGAGCGGCGAAAGGAACGTAACCTGAGTGTCAGGCGTTTCTGGGGGGAAAGGGGAAAGATGGAAAGCAAAAATCTCCTCTCCCGTACCCCCTTAGGAAGGCCTGATACTCAGGCTAAAAGGAACGCCAAGAAATTTGCTGACAGATTTGAACGGACCAGAGGCATTCGGATACGAAGTCAGGAGACCCTCGATATCTCCATACTTAGTTGACACTGTTTCTGCTCGAACATGAAGCCAACATGCACAAAAGAGCAATAACGTTGCTAGTTGCATCCTCGAACACTTCTTCGTGTGGAGCTGTTTATTTTACCAAGATCAAAAAGCAGCAGGGCTTGACTTGTTGACACTAGCTATTATGAAGGTCAAATGAGCAATTTTAAATTACTTTTCATCTCGCAGCAGCGGACTTTTTTAATCCTGACGTCATTCGAACAACATACACTATTTAAAGACCCCTTATTGGCTTTTTGTTTATTATGCAATGTGACTAATGAAAAATTTTTCGCAAAATGTTAGAAACTGATTTACTACAAAGTGTAAAAAAAAGATCAAAAACTAAAGTAGTGCAAGCATCTTACCTTAACCGTGAATTACCTACAGTGTACCTTCTAATGTCGATAGCTTTCTGAAATAGTGTGACATTGTTTTTGTTTTGTTTTTGTTTTTTATTACTTTGCCACTGCGTTGCTAGGAGCTGTCAAGTTAACCATTTTTTGATTATAGTAAACGGAATGATGTATCAAGTCAATCAACGTTGTCTGTTCTTATCGTGAACAGGAACAATGAACAGATGTTACTGATGTATTTTAGGTTTGCATGCTCACGCGATATATTCAGATGTAATCAGCTTTTGTACGGAACGGGTCCTTTTTGGAAATACAGTCTATCACTTTCGACGGAGTTGGATTTATTACTCATTCTCAACATCTAAAACCTCCTTACTTTTTTAAAATTAGTTTAGTGCGTGATCGCAGATCGACCGCGCGTCGGATTCGATGACTACGCAATTTAGAGAACAATGGCAAGCTGACATGGGCCTAAACGATACAATTCATTAAGTTGGAAGTTTAATTAGAAATAAAACTCATATCAATACAGTATATCACTACAGATCATGCAATCAGCAAAATCACTGAACCACCCATAACTGACATCATCGCCATCATTTTGACTCTAGCCGTTTTTTTTTTTGTTTTTTTTTCAGTATCGTGCTTCTGAAGTATCGAGTTAACAGAATTTATACACTCTACTTTGGCTCAATAGTTCATTCAAACGTCGAACTTAATTTAATCGTGCTTGACCAGAAGGTCCATTGTTCTTGACAGTTGATATCAGTCATATGATGGCAGCCATCAACAAAACCTGGATTTCTGATTTCGCATCAATCCCTGAGTCTCTAAATGACATAAGTTTAGGGCTACGGTTACAGGGCTCGTGGTAGCTCATAGCAAATAATAATAGATCCCAATTAAATACATTTTAATTAAATTTACTTGGCAAGCAAAGATAAGATTAAAACGTCACACAAGCGTCAAGCTAATTTAAGGTTAAATTGAAGTGGGTTCGACCAAAGCTGGTTTGGAACCCCGGGGGGTGGGTACTGCCACATATGGGTTACATAGGTATGTGCGTCTGTGAAGGGTATGGTTTTCAAGCAGTTTACTCCGGGATAGGGTATATAAATCAGATAGTTTGGGTCTAGAATAGGGTATCATTTTCCATGAAACAGATCAGTTGGTTGAAGATGTTAGTCTAGACTAGGGAAACCGGGAATTGCCCCTCAAAAATTTTAAAAAAATCAAATCGGATGATGAGAGAGAGATGCCACCTTGATAAAACTAGTATTTTGTCCGAAAGCTCCTTCCAGCTCTCAGCGGACCTTTCATTAGATTTACTTAAAATGAAAAATAAAAATTACTACTGGCTCTTGATTAGTAAAGATCAACTTGAAATAAACGCTAACATGAAATGGGAAAGAGACCTCCTATCTGAAACAATACTTGCAAGGCATCATTTCTCCCGTGTGAAAAATATTTGCAGAGACAACAAACTAAGAGAATTCTACTTTAAACTCTTAGACAGAATTGTCGTCACAAAAAGAGAACTGTTCACGTATGGTATTGCAGAAAATGCGCTTTGTCCTTACTGCAGACAAAATGATTCAATAATTCATACTTTTTGTAACTGCCACTGGACCAAGTGGTTTTTTTCAGAAGTAATCAAATGGTTCAACGTCGAGAATGCCACCTCCTTTGCGCCATCCTCAAGTGAATTAATTTTTGGTCTTAATAATGACAGAAAGAATCAAAGCTCTTCGGCAATTGTCAAAAAGCTCGATTTTACTCTTTTGTTTGCTAAATATTACTTGTACATAAATAAGTTAGCTCCTAAGGATTTATCTTTGGATGAATTTAAGGCTAAAATCAGTTGGAGATACGATTTCGAAAAACCCCCTCCTTCAATTAGTTAGTAAGTATCCATCTTACCGGAATAATCTGTTAATTAGCAGGTCTATCGTTATTGTGCGTATTATTACAACTGCTGTACTATTCTTTCTCGTCTTTATGTAATTTTAATTCAATCTGTAATATCGATATATACTTTTTTTTTTCTTTTAGTTTTAAATTTTGCAACTGTAATATATGTTTTGTCAATAAACGTAAAAAAAAAAAAAAAATTCAAATCGGCAAGTTTAAATTTATGCAACTCAGCCTAAAAGGTACTCTAGGATAAGGGGGATTTGGGGAGTGTAGTCTAGTATAGGGCAGCAAAATTCCGCTGAACTAGCTCTGGTGTAGGCTAAGGGGTCCAGGTCCCAGCGGCACATCCCCACAATGACAAAAGTTTCGGCTCGGGCCTACGGTTACAGGGGTTGGTACTCAAAGCGAATACAGTAGAACCCCGATAACTCGAACTCGGATAATTCGAACTCCCTGCTAACCCGATCAAAAAGTCACTGAAATTTTCCCCGATAACTCGAATTCTGTTTCTTTTAACTACATTCGGATGCCAACCCATTAGCTCTTCTTGTTGTAAAGGGCCTGAAAACACTATAATTAACACTGATGAAAACGAGAGAATACTCGAGTCTATGAATCTATGGTCTGTCCGTCCGAAAAAGTGGACGTTGTAGACGCATGACCTTTGTAGAAAGGTTGTGACTGTACCTTCAGAGCAATGCAATCAGCTAAAATTACAGTAGTAATTAAATGCTCGGCCAAATACAATGAAGACTGCCAAAACTTAAAGAATTAAAATTAGGATTTAATGCAGCCCAAAACAATTGTAGAATTGTACGAACCTTAGGCATCCTCTACCGATGAATGGTTATAATTGCAGGAGCAACAAACATTTTAAGTCTGTAGCATGTTAATTCACTAATCAGTATAATTATTAAACCCTCTATCTGCATAATTCCTCGTATCATTCTCAGCTTCATTCAATAACAGTTATGAACTTTTTAGCAAAAAACTGAAATCGCCCTTTTTTCTTTGCTGACTCTTTTTAGTTGATTCGGCTACATACATCATGCTCTACTTTCCGCTCATAAACCATTAAACCATTAAAGAAAATGTTAGTCTCATCCACTCCTAATAAACTTGAATGAATGAGTAGAAAACAAAGTAAGGTCTTAGTAAATCAAGTATACTATTAAAGCAAATACAACTTGAAGAGCAGTTCCCATGGTAACAACATCCTTTGCATCGCTGACCACCTCTTTATTAACATCGAACTTCACCTGCTCCAATTTAGGATAGTAATTATTCCAAAAAGACATTCGGAGAGAATTAAATGACGTCTTCAGTTTGGCACTTGTGTCCACTTTAAGGTAAGCTCTGTGACTCGAGTTGTATTTCTCCCACGCGACACCGCTGACTGAAGGATCGCCGGACCGGGCGAAGTTTGCATACATGGTCATGATAAACAGACTGACATTTCTGTCAGCCTGACTATAACGTGGCGAAAATTTGGGAAGGAAAGGAACTCCGAAATCAAAGGGAATGTTTTCACCATGAACAACGCCCATCCATTCTGCACGTACCTCCAAACTTGACTTTGCCCGATGAGCAAATTCATACATGTAAACAGGAGCGACCTGGCTTTGAACATCAGCGACCTTGTGACTGGGGGCAACGAAAATATTATCACCGAGAAGATCAACAAGTCCACTTCTTAATGCGTATTTATTACTGTTGTCAGGCCAAGGGGTGTACATGAACTCTAAGGCATCGGCGAGAAGACCAGCATTCTTCTTCCTAAAAAAAAGTGACGGATATTTAACAATTATTCCACAGACCAGAGCCGTGCCCAGTGTGAAGCAATCCGAGGCACTTGCCTCACTAGTTTTATTTTGAAGGGAAAAGTTAAACAATGCGTGCAAATAGAACACAAGCAAATAAATAAAAAAATGCAAAAAGGGAACAATGAGACACAGGAGGAAACACCCTGTCTAGCCCTTGGGGTATGTGAATTTCACCAAAGTTATTTTGAGACCGATAAACGCTTGAGTTAATCGGAGGATGGTCTCCAGAGAGAAACAGCAGTCGCTATTACTCGCTCTTGATAAATGTTAATGCAACATGGTTGGTGGCCTATTATGACCCCGGGAGGTCACGTGCTTAGGTTATATGACTTATACGGGGATGTGCCGCTGGACAGGATGTGGTTCATCAAACAGGGTACATAATAACCTACGACTGAGTATATTTCGGTTGTGGTTACGTTGTAGCGGATCAGTGTACAGTGTAGTGTAATTTTTGGAGCGAAAATATAGTCGATTGAAAAATTCAATTCAGTGTATGGTGCAGTACAAGTTTACTTATTTCATCAGACACTAACATAAAAAAAATATGATTAGGCACTTTTACGTGATCTGTTCGTTTCACAAATTAAAAATAAAATTGCCTTAAACAGTGACCAATGTCAGTTGTAGTGTTTTCAGGCTCTCATACAACAAGAAGAGTTACTCAGATTAGTTAGTTTATAGATTAGTTTAGTAGTTAAAAGAACCAGAATTCCAGTTATCGGGATACATTTCAGAGACTTTTTTGATCAGGGGAGGCGAAAAGGCGTCTTAGTTCGAGTTAGAGGGGAATTCGAGTTATCCGAGTTGGAGTTAACCGAGTAAAAATGACAGGAAAGGGAGGTAAAATCCAAGGGAAATTGAACTTAGTTAGAGTTAGCGGGGAGTTGGAGTTAACGGGGTTCTGCTACATTGAGACTACTGAGCAAATATTTAATTTTCACTGATCTTACCTACTGTTTTGAACTTGCGCGAACTTAATAAGAAATGAATTGAACAAGGCCGGACTGACTCCATTGTCCACGCTCTCCATCAGCCCTAAAGAATTGTTGATCATATCTCCGAGAAAAGTCGCCCCCTCGTGACTTGTGAAGGTGATGATAAGCGGCACTTGCTTAAATTCTCCTTTTTTTCTCAAAACCTGGGGTGTACCATGAAGAAAGTTTTTATCTACGACTGGTGCCCAGTAAATATTAACGAAACCAAATTTGAATGACTCTGCGGCTTTTTGCATGTCTGACGCTGTTTTGCTGCGCATACAAGAAACCATTGCAGAATGGTCACTGGATCCACAATTCAGTTTTTGTGAAAGCTCTTTAGCGAAACGGAGACCAAAAGACGTTGGCTGAACCGCAAAGGAACTTAAATCTACACCGCTCTCTGGAATGGCTTGATGAAAGAGATCACGAGATAGAGGCGATAGAAGATGGAGCCCCACGCTAGTTCCTCCAGCGCTCTCTCCAAATATGGTCACTTTGCTGGGATTCCCGCCAAAATTCTGAATGTTTTCTTTGACCCACTTCAGTGCTTCCACTTGATCCAACATTCCATAGTTACCAGGCGCCGCTGAGTCACCGGTCGTCAAGAAACCAAAGGGACCTAGACGATACTGGATAATGACTACCACCACCCCCTGGAGAGCCAAGATATCGCTAGGAAAAGTGATCGCTGTTCCTATAAGGTAACCTCCACCGTGAATGTAAACCATCACTGGCAAACTGAGGCTGATGTTCGGGCTGTAGATATCAAGATATAAGCAATCCTCGCTGTAAGTGAAATTTGAACTAAAAGGCTCGATTAGGTTTTCGAAAAGTTTGGGCTGTAAGCAAACGCTCCCATGGGTTTTAGCCGAATAAACCTTTGGTTTCCACTCTTTTGGTGGTTGTGGAGCTTTAAACCTTAGCTCTCCAGTTGGTGGAGCGGAGAAAGGAACCCCAAGAAATTTGCTGACGGATTTGAAACGACCAGAGGCATTCGGATATAAAGTCACGAATCCTTCGATATCTCCATATCTAGTTGACACTATTTCTGCGCGAAGATAAAGCCAACATGCACAAAAGATAAAAAACGTTGCTAGCAGCATCTTTGAACACTTCTTCTTGTGGAGTTGTTTCTTTCACTAATATGAAACAACAACCGAGCTTGACTTGTTGACACTAGCCAAATGAAGGTTTTAAGTTTTAAGTTACCTTTCAACTCGTAGCGAGTCCTTTTAGGCAATTTTTTAAAATCCTGCACGTCAATCAAACTTGATTCATGTACATGTGATGGTGAAAGAGTGTCGATATTTTACATGAACACAATTTGAGCACCCCTCATTGTGCTAATTGGCGATTTACTGATTATGTAATCTGGTTGATAAAAATATATTTCTATAAAGGTTACAAAACAATTTATTACAAACTATGAGAAAAATCTGGATTTCACTTATCTTCATCCTGAATGATCGATCTCGGCCCAACACTTGCAATTCAAGTTGCCCCGTCAAGTTGTCGAATTTCTTTAGTCTTATTGCGTGAGCGAGCCGGAGCACCTTAGATTCGCTAACTGTGCATTTTAAAGAACAAAAGAAAACTTGTATTGTTCATGGCTCTCTGCGTTTTTTTAAGGATATTATTCGCTGAGCTGGCGGTTTTAATACTGACAAACAAAGGTCTTTTGAAAACTATATGAATAATCATGACACATCATGCAGTTAATAAAAGCAAAATGCCATGAAATTAAAACCTAATATCGTCCCTTACATCGACTTAAGAGACGGAAGTGGGTCTTTAGAGTCCTTAAAAACGTGTATACTCAGCAAAACTTTTTAAGGACCCACATTAACGCACGTAAATTTTAATCACGTAAATAAAATTGAGGGAAGATAAAAGTGCTGAGCTTAAACGAGAAGTTGAGCGAGGTTCAACTTTTACGCTTACGAGCGACCTTTTATGTATTGCCTCTATTTTATTTGCGAACGTAAATTTTGCGCACCTAAGCACGTAAAAATTATGCGACACCAGTAATCAACCCTCATACTTCCATAAGATGGCAATCTTCTCGGTGGATGGCACTATCCACCCTTCAGGGGCACCCAACGTCAATTTTCGGAAAATATCTGTTCGGAAGACGATTTGAGATCTACAATTCTCAGGAACATTTGTTGTAAAATTTCTTGTTCGCCTGTCTCTCCTAGGATTTTCGAACATCTAAAAAATGGTATAACGGATTTTTACCCTAAGAAGGTCACCTAGAATTTTCGGGAGCCTTTTTCCTGGCTGAAGTTTTCAAAAAAGTAAGTTTTGATCCCTATAATTTACGGATCACTAGACTTTCAGCTAGGAAATCCAAACAGATAAAAAATTTTTAGGGGATAAAAGTATGCCTATATCTACCGTTCAAATACTAAAATAACTGAACAATGCCACGTTTAAGTGGTTTTGAACTATATTCTCGTTGGGTGCTCCTGACCTTTTTACCAACCGTAGTCAGGACCATAAATGGGGAGCAAATGTTAAGCAAGTCACGTCTTTCTATCACACTCTTCAATCTTAATGAATTAAGGAATTTATACCTACGTTAATACTTGAAATCAAATAGCATGTGCAAGCTTTCTTTCAATAGCTTAATTTGTTGATAGAGACAATATCCAAGGCTTAACGGATTCAGGACCTATCAAAGAACATATCGAATGGCAACTGCGAAAGTCAGATCACAAAACAATATTTTTTTTTTCTCACAGAAGGTCACATTTCTTGCGACAGAAACAGGTATTGTTCATTCGCTGCCGGTTTATTCCGTTGGCAGTTTTAGCAACACATCCCGGGGGGTACTACTGTGAATTCTTGGTGGTGGTGTGCCGCCCGGTTCTCCAAATCCTAACCCTATTTCAGACCAAAAAATGTAGTTCCACACCCGTTTTCAGACCTGGCCTTTAGGCAGAAATTATGTCGTCATTACTTAGATTAGAGCGCAAAAACAAACTGAAAATTCTTCAAATCCATTTCTTCGAATTCCCATATTTTTCTTTCTTTCTTAGCACTCATCTGGAATTGAAACGATAAAGACGTTCATACAATCCCGTAGTTCCCACAAAAACCATACTCGATTCCAGACCATGAAGAGGGTTTTTTCATTTGTGAATTATAACAATGTTTACGGTCGGTGAATCACCACCCAATATCCCAGGCAAATAAAGGAGAACAGCAAACTCAACAGCGTTGGATTCAACAAGTGCCAGTCCTCGCTGGGAAAGATTTACAAACTAAACTACTCCGCAAGGCCGAGAAAGTCGACTTTAAATTCAGGGCGAGCAACGGCACAGCGAAGGTAAACGCTGTAAGCTAAAGACAGAGGATGTAAAGGGGCAGAAACAAAATAGAACAATTACACTGCAAACAAAGCCGACGAAGACCGACTGCCGACGTTTCAGCAAAATGCCGTCAAAAGAATTCGCAACGAAACCGTGGAGGAATCATCGAGAGGCAAGCTTACCGTCAAAATTATCTTCTTCGATGCAACGATAGGCAGCAAGAATTACACCATCTGTAAAATCGACATGAGGAGTATCTTTCTTACGGACTGAGGACAGCCAATCAGCCTTCTCACCGTTTTACAGGAAGCTTTATCTCAGGGGCGTAGTGTCCTTTACGCAAATACGCACGTGCGTACTTGAGAAATTCGTTGGATTTTTTTTAAAGATTTTCTGTTATAAGTAAAAGCCATTTATAGTGTCGTGACTTGACATTGTTTGTGCAAATTTGTTCCTGTCTTTCGATATCTCGCTGTTATAGCGCATCGTTTTTACACTATAAATAAAAAAAGTTTGAGTGGTGGAATGTGATAAATTTGAAACATTTTTCACGATACATTGCGGGGGGCAAAAACGTTATTTTATACTAAGGGCCGGTTTACATGGAGATGGGGGACCCCAGGTAGGTGAGGTAACCCTCTAAGGGAGGGTAATCCGCCACTCCATATAATCTCTCATCTTAATTTGATCGCGTTTACATGATAGGTGGGGTGACTCGCTACATTTTACCTCATCTACCTGAGGTCCCCCACCTCTATGTAAACAGGCCCTACGTTTTTGAGACCGTATGGACCCGTGTGCGTACTTGCCAAAACGGTTACGCTACGCCCCTGTATTTTACAATGAACAGTTTAAAATTACGGCATACGGAGCTCACTGTGGTGATTTGCTCAAGTGACCATCAAACAGTAGCTTCCCAGGGCGCAGCTGCCCAACTTCATTGAATCAGATGTATGGTGTTGGATTTTAAATTGCCGTGAGTCACGGGACCATAATGTAATGACTGTTGTCGACTTGCAGAGAAGTTCAACCTCATTTTCCTGAGCACAGCAAAATAGGCAGATATAAGCTAAAAAGGCAAAAGTAAATGCTAATAAAGTAAAAAACGCAACAAATGCAATACTGCCAGATCTGATACCTTTCCAAAAGCTGTTTCCTTAATGTAGTTCATTTATATTACTTCATGCTCTACTTCCTACCGAGAGAGATTGGGGAACAGACCTAATCCTATATGCACTTGTAACCTACTAAAATAATTGAATACATAATGCGAAGCAAGGTCTTAAGCCCAGTTAACATTTCTTAGAAGCGCATGGTGACAAAAATCTTCTTAGCGAGGGTCAATTTCGCGTTCTCAAGAAGTGCCACGGGAAATTTGACTGCCTCGTTTACGAAATGCTATTCATCAAACTGACCAGAGGGCTGGCCTTTTAACACTCAGAGTGACTCCATGAGTGCGAAACTCTTTGTTTAACTTGTAACATATTTGTATATGTTACTTTTCTTTTTAATGAACTATTGTTCTTCTTTTATTTATAGAACATTCATACTGTATTTTTTTTTAAATTGATAATAACGTCCTAGAACGTCGAAACGTATATTTTTCAACTTTCTAAAAAATTCTTAAATGTTGTTAAGAGCAGTTTTTTCGCAATTTGTTTATAACTAAATGTTTTAAAAAGTCTCTTCTTTTTAAACAATTATAGACGCCAAGACGGCACTGTTAATGTTTTCAATGCGCTACCACACCATATCAGGAACTCCACAGAATGTTGTTATTTCAAGAGTCAGTTGACAATTCACCTTTAAACTAAGGCGAAGGGCAAGGCTGCATTCTTAGCGACCTTTCCATAAGTTTTTTTTCACTAGTTTTTCTTGAATTTTGGAACTTATGGTTTTATTATCATTTCACTGTTCATAGTTTTGTAGTAACGATAATTGATAACCAATTGATGAGTAGATTAGTACTAGGTTAGAAGAGCTATATTTTTTGTTATCGATGTATATACTGTGAATAAACATAATAATGATAAACCATTATAATTATAATAATAATAATTATTATGGATTGAAGACTTTGGACGAAAAAAGCGAGATTCTAGAATTACCGGGTAACGGCGAAAAGCGAACAAACTGTACTCTGTAGTCACGACTACACGAAGCAGCTCAACAACACAACGTAGCAGCAGGAGTACACTCGAAAAATGAACAGTCACGTGCTTGGTAATGACTATGCGCAGTACCGAACATGTTTACTAATGGTAGAAATCCGTAGTCGTCGAAACTTAAAGTCTCTGATCCTACAGCTCCGCCTGCTCCGACTCCGTGGCAAGTGAATTCCATCTTACTGCAATCATATAAGCATTAAAAAGGAGGAGCAATAGGCATTAAAAATCATCTAAAAATAAACAGCGTTCTCTTGTTCAAAGATTTAAAATCAGTGGCTTTTGGCTTCCATCGTAAAACATTTGAAAAAACATAGGTTATCGGTTCATAAAGATAAGAGTAACATTTTTAACAGTCAGTGATAATTACGCCATGTTATGCTTGTTTTGGCTTTTGCTTGCACAATCCTGGCTAGATCCTAGTACATCAGCGAAACAACAACAAATGAAACCAGAAAAACTTTTCCCATGGCAACATTAACAAGAGCATTAGCACCGCTGATCACTTTGTCTTTAATGATATCAAACTTCAGCTGCATCAGTTTAGGGTAATAATCATTCCAGAAAGACATTCGGCGAGGATGAAATGACGCCTCCATCCCAGGATTTACGCCAACTCGCATGTAAGATCTGTGACTTGAATTGTATTTGTCCCACGCAACACCGCTGACTGTAGGATCGCCGGACCGGGCAAAGTTTGCGTACATGGTCATAATAAGCAAACTGACATTTCTGTCAGCGGGACTATAAAGAGATAAAAATTTCGGGAGCAAAGGAACTCCGAAATCAAAGGGAACGTTTTCGCTATGGACCACTCCCATCCAATCAGCACCCATACTTGTTTTTGCCCGATGAGCAAACTCATACATGTAAACAGGAGCGACCTGACTGTGAACATCAGCGACCTTGTGACTAGGAGCAAAGTAAAGGTTATCACCAATAAGATCAACAAGTTGACTTCTTAATGCGTATTTATCACTGTTGTCAGGCCAAGGGGTGTACATGAACTCCAATGCATCTGTGATGAGATCAGCGCTCTTACCGCTGGAAAAAAAAAGAGAATACTTGTTTTTTAATGAAATCATACTTGAATTTAATCGGCCATTTGAGGCTGCGTCTGGGACTGAGTCAGTGATGTTTTGCAATACTGTGAGTATGGGACTGTTCTGGAGTCGATTTCGCTTTACTAGTTAGAGTGGTTTTCGTTTGAGTGTCGTAAAACCAAAACCAAAGTAATTACTCTGGCCAATCACATAGGACACAGACAATACATTGAACCAATCAAAACTCGAAGTAATTACATGTGGCTGATGCAAAGCGCAGGAAAATGCATGCGAGCGCGTCACAATTGGCTTTGGTCTTACTTCTGATTGGATGAAAAGGTGGCGCGAATCTTTTAAGCCAATCGCATCGTGTAGAAAGTGCAAAACCAATTACTTTTCGACACTCAAACGAAAACCGCTCTATTGCAACGTTTGGCGGGAAACTGGGTCAAAATTCTTCCCTTAAAACAGTCCCAGCGGCAGTGCGACACAACACCGACCCAGTGTCAATCTCAAACCAGCCCACTACCGCATTCTGTCTGGCTGACGTAGTTGGTATCTATTTAACAAAGAGATTCCGTTTTTGCCGCGTGCTTATTTAGTTATTAGAGAGCTTTAGCAACGACGACGGCGTCGACAACAAGAACGTCAATAAAGCATTAGCATTATTAATAAAACAACACCTTTGCACGATTTGTACATTTCTTTACCGTTACCGCGCGATTACGACGTGAAAATGCCTAATTTCACGTTTTGTGGAGAACAGGAACACCAGACAACGATTTTCTTTTCATTCTCCTGATCTTCGATACAGTCCTTTAGAATTCAACTCCAGAAGAATTTGCCAACATTGTCGAATTGAACGAGATGGAATAAACGTGATAAGTTTAAAGCAGAGCAAATTCACTTCAGTTTCAAGTGAAGTTTTCGTAGCCGTTGATGTCGTTGCTGCTGCCCCGTCTACACGCGTCCGCACATTTTTTTTTTCTTTTTGTAGCCAGCCTTTAATTCTTCTAGAGTGGATAGTACCTACGAGTGCAAAACTCGACAAAATGACACCTTAACCGACCAGGAAAGACAAGAAGACGTTCAGTTAAAGGTATGTTAGCTTTGTTTTGTTATATTTTGACTTCTGGACTATTTTAGTTCATGGGAGATTCGACGACTCATCCCACTTTGTCCATGTTATTGAGAGACACTACGTCTGGGCGCCCTGTGCTACAAGGTGGCTCTAACGTCAGACTCTATACGTTGTGACCAGTCTCATAAAATTCTGCTGAATTATCAGATAGTATACGTCATGGGGAGTATATGTGATAAGCGCGGGACGGCCCCACAAGCTCGCTGAAAACTCCTACGGACAACGTGCTTAGAAAACGATGTCAAAACCTACGAGTTTGAACTGTTATAAGAGGGGACGCAATAACAATATAATGCAATACAAGAGGTACGCCCCCGCCTTGTAAGCTACGGTCACGCTTGCGTTACTCCAACATCTGGAATATCAAACTCTAGGACATTCTCATACTCATATCTTTTCGGTTACCCGGGTCCCAGATTTTTCTTCGCGACTCTTTCTCCCTCACGCGGAGGAAAATAAAGAAAAACCTCTGGGACCAGGATACTTCTAGCCTTTGTGATTGAAGAAGTCGTGAGATTAGGTAGATCGCCGAGTTTGCTAAGGGAAGGCCTCTATACAACTTACCTACTGGTTCGAGCACGAGCAAATTTGGATAGCGATGCTTTGAATAAAGTCGGATTCACTCCATTGTCCACGCTCTCGTTCAGCAAAAAAGAATCGTTGACCATATAACCAAGAAAAGACGCCCCATCATTGCTGGTAAAGCCAATAATAAGTGGCACTTGCTTAAAATCTCCTTTCTCCCTCAAGTTGCGGGGTGTGTCATGAAGAAAGTTGTCATCTACCACCGGTGCCAAGCAGAGGTAATTAGTGAACACAAATTCGATTGATTCTGCGGCTTTCTGCACGTCTGTAGCACTCTTGTCGCGTATACAGGAAACCATTGCATGGTGGTTACTCAAGCTGCAGTTCAGTCTTTTTGAAAGCTCTCTCGTGAAACGAAGACCATAAGATTTTGGCTGAATCGCAAAGGAACTTAAATCTACACCGCTCTCTGCAATGGCTTGATGAAAGAGATCACGTGACAGAGGCGATAAGAGGTGAAGCCCTACACTGGACCCTCCAGCGCTCTGTCCAAATATGGTAACCTTGCTGGGATTCCCGCCAAAATGCTTAATGTTTTCATTGACCCATTTCAGAGCTTCTACTTGATCCAGCATTCCATAGTTACCAGGAGCTTCCGAATCACCGGTCGTCAAGAAACCAAAGGGACCTAGACGATACTGGATTATGACTACCACTACCCCATGAAGAGCCAAAATATCGCTGAGAGACACTATCGCTGTTCCGCCGGCGTAACCTCCACCGTGAATGTAAACCATCACTGGCAAACTGAGGCTGGTATTCGGGCTGTAGATATCGAGATATAAGCAATCCTCACTGTACGTGAAATTTGGAGTCACAGACCTGATAAGGTTTTCCAAATAATTCGGTTGTACGCAGATGCTTGCATGTTTTTTGGCCAGATACACTTTCGGTTTCCAACTATTCGGCGGTTGTGGTGGCTTAAACCTTAGCGCTCCAACTGGTGGAGCGGCGAAAGGTACGCCAAGAAACTTGCTAACGGATTTAAAATGACCAGAGGCATTTAGATACGAGAACTCTAACCCTTCGATGTCCCCAAATTTGGTTGACACTACTTCTGATCGAGCATAACATGTAAGTGCACCGAGTACGAAAAACGTTGCAAATAGCATCTTTTACAGCCTGAATCTAAAAGAGTTGTCGTATATATTCAAACAATAGCCGAACTTAAAAGTTGACGCGATTCGACTAAAAGTTCTTTTACCTTTTTAACCCGCCGCACGCCCGCTATATCGAGTGTTAAGTTATATAGCGCGCCAATGACCGCGCCGAAGAGAAAATGAAGCGTGTCCTCTTGCATGAGGCAAAAAATGTTTTCGACGCAAAAGGTCACACTCACTTTTCGGGTTATGTTGCACGACGAAGACAACAATTTCCCCTTTTTCACAAAATTTATTTTGACTAGAAAAAAATAAATTGATAAAATGACAAGCAACGACTAAAGCGTAATTGATTTTACCTTTTTGCGAAACTGAACCAAACAGAAATTTAGCAACCGGCCTTCAGAATTATCGCTTTTCTTACTCACTGACATTATATCAGTTATGCGGGGGTTACGACATGCCTGCATAGTGTTTCAGTTTCCTCCATACGCAAGCACACGATCATTTGCAGGGTACTCGAATCTTAGTTATCACATAATTAGATTTTTGGCTTTTTCTCAGTTATGTCTCAGTTACAATTTAGCTCAGTTAACTTAATTTCTTTTGATCTCAGATCTTTTAAATCCTAAATTTCTTTGCTTACTGTTAACAATTCAACCAATTATCGTTTCAGCATTTCAACCACATCCAAAGCCTTCTTTGATAGTTTTTTTTTATTTATTTTTGGTACAAAAGAAAATGTTGCTTCGATATTGTTCGTTCGTTAAAGACTATTTAAGTGGATGGTTAAAAAACAATGCGAGCCTCCTGTGAATACTATTTGACAACGTGTAAATATATTGTAACGTTTTGTTAGTCTCACAAGAGTATGTATTTTTGGGATGATCCGCACCAGGATCACTGGGATCATGGTGCATCATGAACCGATGAGTCCTTTCCCAGCATGGATTTGTCCGTCCCTTTGATGTGCTTTGATCCGAGTGACGTCGGATCACCAAGCCTGATCAGTCGGATCATCCCAGTGGAGCTACATGATAACTATCGAAGTATTTAAGGCGTAATTGTAAAGGCTCGTTTTCACGAGCGACGGAGTCGGAGTCGTAAGAGCGCTCATGAATCAGTGAAAATCTCAAAAATGGGAATTGTAAGCGGAGTCATTAGCGCCACGGAATCGGAGTCAGAATAATCAGAACGTTTGTTCCGACTCCGCTTAGAACTCCGTCGTTTACGATCTAGTGAAACCCAGATTGACGGAGTAGGAAGCAGAAGCGGGAGGATGCAGCCAATCACTATGCACGTTCTCACGCTTTGTGATTGGTTTATTTCTTCTGCTTCTGCGCTTGTGACTCCGACTGGACCCAGTTTTCACTTGATCGTAAACGACGGAGTCGTAAGCGGAATCAGGTGTTTTTAGTGACTAAAAGACAATTTTTAAGCCAGTTTTTTAAGTTATGCAAGGGCACTTCGACGCATCTCTGTCAACCCTGATTTTTATCTCTTTTTTCTTACTCCCTATTGTAATTTTCCTTAAGTCTAATATAATACTGTAATAACGTGCCTGTAATGCTATAACGCTAGCGCTCTCTTCACAGTATTGCGCATGAATAAACGAGATGCGCGCTCCTAATTCTATGTTTGGGATTATTTAGATTTGTTACAAAATATTTTATAATCGTTTCAGCGTGATTAGAGTATAATTAATTATTTTAAGAGCAAACGCGAAGGAGTGAATCTAACCCTCTCCAGAGTGAATGATACAGTCGAGTGTACAGTCGAATCTCCCGTAAGCGACCACCCAAAACGCAAAGACCAAAAACACGTTTGGGTTTAAACACTTCTTTTACACTCAGGTAAGTATTTTGTGGGGACAACTCCTTCCTGAGTGAAGTGTACCTCAATAGAGGGAGTATTAACTTTTTGGAGCATTCAAAAAGCTTTGTTAAGTTACTAACTGGTAATTATTTCGAATGATTTATCAAATAAATGGCTTTCAAAATGGTTTTTTTGTGCGACTGGGTTGACTGATCTCTTGTGAAGATTTTAGAGGAGCTGTGTCACGAAATGTATCAAAATTCAAACAGTGGGATGCGTCACCAAGCATAAAAATAACTTCTCAAAACTTGAAAACAAGGTATAATTAACAAAGCAAATACAAAAGGAGGGACGGATGGACAAACATGAAGAAGACTGAAACACTTGTGGTTTTTAAAAACTTGTTAGCCTAAACGTTTTTCAAAGAGGGAGTATTGAGAAGTTGTAAAAAGTCTATAAATAGATGCCTATAACATGCATCCGAGCATGCAAAAAGCAGATAAGTTACTAACTGGTAATTCTTTCGAATGATTTATCAAAAAATGGCTTTCAAAATGGTTTTTTTTTCGGCGAAGGGGTTGACTGATCTCTTGTGACGATTTTAAAGGAGCTGTTTCACAAAATGTATCAAAATTCAAACAGTGGGATGCGTCACCAAACATAAAAATAACTTCTCAAAACTTGAAAACAAACATGAAGAAGTCTGAAACACTTGTGGTTTTTAAAAACTTGTTAGCCTAAACGTTTTTCAAAGTTCAGTTTTCTCGTTTGCAACGTTTGGTATAATGTTTCTTTGACACGAAGCTGTAATTTTGTCATTCACAACGAATTTTTTTATTACTATTCGCCACACAATAATAGAAAATGAATTACAAATAATAGGATTAGTAGAAAAAAGAAGTGGCGAAGAGACCTAACAGAAACTAGGAGCTTATGAGAAGTTAAACCTCCTCGAGATTTATGAACTGCTTTCATATTTACAATTATGATTTACTCTTCAGTATTTTTTAAAAGTTGATGACCTCGTTGTCAAGTGAATTATTAAACTTAGCGGGTCCTTGAAAAAAAGGCGAGAACTTCTTAGTGTTTGTTCGATAATACGGTAGACGGTAGGCCTGGGAATTTCTTGTATTGTAAGGGTGGAATTGATTGTTTTGGCAGAAATTACCAAGTTCTATGGCGAAAAAGGGCTTATAACTGACATTAAAAACAAAATGAACTAACAGCTGTGACACCGGGCGCCTTAAAGACGGTTGTTAATAGGAATCTCTCCTCGCCCGGCGCGTTTGATCTGACTCTTGTGTATAAAACGTGCCAAGTAACTGGCCTTTCGACGGTTTTTGAATTCACGAAAACTAACTCTTGCTCGCCACAAGTGGCCCTGACACGTTAGAATTTTGTAGCAAAGACTCGAGCAAATGACGTTCACATTCAGTGGGGGTGACAAGAGTCCGTTTGAAGTATGTATTTATAACTGTCCAGCCACACGAGAAACAGAGCACGTTGAGTTAAGTTGCGAACTTCCAAGTATCCAAAGCTGAAAACTAATCCGAAAAGGTGGGTGGAAATTTTCATATACCTACTATATTTACTCGATTAAACGACGCCCTCGAATAAACGCCATCCTCGATTAAAAGGTCTTAAAACTTGACCATATTAATCTTGCACCCAGATCGATCTCTTGTCGACGAAGTCGAAGTATGGTCTGTAACTATGGTAACTCTCGTTAAAGTTAACTCGGTTGGGAAGGTGACCTACTTTCCCAAGACAACGTTTCTCCACATAAACTGGGAACCTTAAAAAATTGTTAGAGAATCCTTCTCTTGCTATAAATAACAAGGCTGTAGACAAGCATCATCAGCTAAATCTCTTGGATTCTACATCGACCAAACCTTAAATTAGGACTACCATAATAACAAAAAGATAACTTCTGCCATTAGTGCTAAACGAATGCGTCATCTTATCCCATATAAAACAAAAGAAGCAAGGCTTATTTTACAGTCGGGAATATATTAAATATTTTTACCAATATTTCGGAAGGCAGGGCCTTCCTTCCTCGGGGTCTTACATATATTTCGTGCCTTCCGAAATATTGGTAAAAATATATATATAATTTCCCGACTGTAAAATCAGCCTTGCTTCTTTTGTGTAATATTTTCACTTATTGCTGATTGGATCCATTATTAGGATCCGGTCCTTCTTGTTTGTAAGCTGGTCTTTGCTTCAAAAATTGAATCTTATCCCATAATAGCCTTGTTCAGCCTCACTTTGATTATTCTAATGTGGCGTGGGGAGACTGTATCAAAGGCCTTTCTGAAAAGCTGCAAAACGGGCGAAGTCCCCGTTTTAATTATGTCTGCACCTACCCTAAGGGGTCCCCTAAGGGTTATTATTTCTACTCTCCCCAATCTTCCCCTGTCATAGAATCAAAGATGGCGGCTACAACAATACGAACATGAACAAGGTTTCGCCCACCCAAAATACGCCTGCACTGCAGGCTAGTCTGTAAGCTAAGATTGTTATGGATGATGTGTCAGGCCAGTTAGGGTGGTATTAACTCTGCCAACAAAGACTAGAATATTTACGACTGAATATCTACGATCAAGATTCGCTTTTAACGCGACCATGCGCGCGAATGCTTATCGTTTGAGGAACACCAAAAACAAACTAATTCTCGCACTGATTTTTTTAACAGACAAGTTTTTCATGCAGTGGAGCTTCAGTTTTGGAACAACTTACCAACAGAATAAGCTACTTTCTTAAAGGAGTTCAAGACAAAACTAGTGCCACAGCCAGTTAAGTTAAGTTTTAAGTATAATTGACCACGGCCTCCACGAAAAGCAGTATTTTTTTTTTTCACTTTTTTATTTTTTATGTTTTTTTGTATTTTGTACCTTTTAGTTTGTTGTTAGAAAGATAGGTAGCTTGCTGTTATATTAACTACTGAGGGAAATACCCTTTATGAATTTAAGTTGTCTAATCCATTCTATTCTATTCTACAGTATTGTTCTATTCTGTTGTGTGACGCGTAACCTCGAGTGAAGGGTAGAGGAGTGGGGTGGGGGGAGGGCGTGGGTTCCGTCGAGAAGTAATTTATCAGTAGAAAAAAATTTGTATTTTTGAACCAGAGTTTGGATTGCCCTTACGGTCGTATCAATGATCGTATCGTATCCATGATCCGCCTGTAGCCTAGTATT